CACACCACAGTTAAAGCTACAACATAGAAGGCTAAATTAGACATTTTTGTCATATCGAATACTAACACAAATTAACACAATTTAGACATCGGAACTAACCGTCCCCTTTGTTGCTCGCATTTAATGGCTTGATATCTAAATATTCTGCGCATATTTTGCTCAACAAAATCAACATGATGGGCATCAAAGTAGTTTATGATTTTATTAATAGACTCTATCCAAGCTTCGTGCCCAGCAGAACTGTAATGGTTGACGACCCCATCTTTGAAATCAACTTCAACAAGATGCCAATGATCGTTCCTGATCTAAGGGATCAATAGATGCTCCATGTGGAATGCGGTATATTTGTTAATATATGTCAAATATAGCTCGTAATTGTCCGGCTCGAAGCCATAGAGTGAGTGCTGTAAACACAACATGTATGAGTTGAAATTAGAACTAACATGAGCTTGGACTGCTACACAATAGAACTAACAATGTACAAATTAGAATTAACATGCTACATAATAGAACTAACATGGTACAAATTAGAACTAACATAGTATACATTAGAACTAACACGTCATCAGTTAGAACTGACAACGCTTACATTAGAACTAACATGACTTATGGTAGGTCTAACTTGACGCCAACTAGAACTAACGTGACTCATGGTAGAACTAGCATGGATCCAACAAGAACTAACATGCATTTCAATTAAAACTAACACGGTGAATTTAGAAATAGCATGTTCTTACAAGAAAGAATATTGATACGACTCCATATCCTTTATCATATGCCTCTTGGTTAAGCGTGTCCAATACTGCTTCTTCCATCTGTAATTGTTATGAAACATTAAAATTCAATTTAAACAAGACATTTTCAATTATTAAGCATGTATAATCTAACCTTGTCGTCAAGCTGGCCACCACGAAGTAAATATAATAACTCTTCTCTGTTAATACTACTGTTGGATGTTACTATAACATTATATCTCCTAAAAATTAGAACTAACATGAATTAGGACTAATATGTGACGAATTAGCATATAAATAGTTAATGAAAACTTACATGTGAATCTTCTGAGAGCAAAATTTGGTTAGGCTCTTAATTTGAGCTTTATCGAGTCTAGCTGCTACTAGAGATGATATCTTTAAATTATGTACAAAAGAACATGTGCTATCTATTATGCGTATGTTAAACAATATAGAGTCTGAAATCTCTTTATTCAGCTCTCCCAATAGAGCTACCTCATCATCTGTCATTGGCTTCAAACTCAACACATCCCAAGTGGGGATTTGATTACCGGAGTAAAAATGAGTAACTTTGTCAACTAGTTGTACATTTTCAGGACTTTCAAGTATATCTATAGGAATTTTTTTGCTTTTTCTTTCTTTTTCCTTCAGTATATGGGGTCCTCTTCCATTTAGATCTTTTGCTTACCCTTCTTGGCTGTGGGCTACCCTTTGCTTCCACATTGCTCGTTAGAACTTCTACAAGTTTGTCCACATGTTGTTTAATATTCACAAGATCCTCTACCTCCTGTGCTTCCAACCCCTCTATAACTTTGCCATCAACCTGACTATCATCTGCACCTTTGTTATCTACAATAACCTTTTCATGTTCAACATGATCCTCTTCCCTATCCACATGTTCCTCCTCCATATATACACTATCCTCAGCCTTACTATCTACATTCACGTCAACCATACTATCTACATTCTCCCCTTCTCTATCAACATGCTCCTCCAACTTATCTGCATTCTCCTCCTCCTTATCTACAATATCCTCCTCCTTATCTACACCATCAGCAGGATCCTCATCAAAACCTTTATTATCTACAATAAAATTTTCGTGTTTAATATGATCTTCTTCCTTATCTACATGTTCCACCTCGAGATCTACACTATCCTCAACCTTACTATCTACATTCGGGTCAACCTTACTATCTACATTCTTCCCTTCTGAAATAACATGCTCCTCTTCTATATCAACATCGTCAACAAGATGCTTCACATCCTCTTCAACAATCTTATGTGCATGTTCTTGCATGATGGGGTCTTCCTTATATACACTGCTTGTTTTGGACTTCTGATCCTCTTGAGCTACCCGTCGCTTCTTCCTTATTTCATTTGTAATTTTCTGTTTGATATTCGCCTTCAGCACCACCGGGTCTATAACCTCATCATGTCTTCCAAATTCTTCAATTATCATGTTTAGCCTGTTGATCTCAATCATGAATTCTTTACAATATGAACTCTTGATCTGCTTTGTGGCAACTAGTAGTCGTTTGAGAAATTTAGCAGAATTTCTCCAAAATATAAGTTGTTGCTCAATGGAAAGAATATTGATCTCCTCTTCCTCATCAAAAGCAACGTCAATATGCTTTGTCATTATCTATTATTATTAAGAGATTATAATTTAAAGTAGGATTACACATAATTAGGATATTGTTTGCAGTGTGAAATGAGTACGACTTAACATAACAGGATACTTACGTAGTCTATTGAGAAGTTCTTAGTAGTTTCCTCCAGGATAGCCTTCCTCTTTGCCTGATGCTTATGATGCACAACTTCACCCCTCTGTACAGTGGGAAGTGCATGAACATGACCTGGAGCAGGGACCTCCACAATAGACCTATGGACAAAAGTTATTGACGCTGACTTAGCCTTTGTCGTGATTGTCCCCACCCTCATAGATGAGACTTTCACCTCCTCTGGTGCCCAATTTATCATTGGAGGTCTGGAGCTATCTACAAGGGCATATTTCTTTATGCTGGTCATCTCTTAGTACCAAAACTGTAGCAAATATATTTAGCATTTAAAATAATACTAGACTAGACCAAAAAGAGTAAAATATGGGTGTAGCTAGAACTGACATGGTGTAAATTAGGACTAACGACATAAATTAGAACAAACATAATCTATGTTAGAAACATCATAAGCCCAGGTAGAACTAACATGACCTATGTTAGAACTAACATGAGTGCAGCTAGAACTAACATGGTATATCTTAAAACTAACAAGACATAAATTAGAACTAACAAAATCTGCGACAAAACTAACATGATGTAGATTAGAACTAATATGGCATAAGTTAGCACTAACATAGCATAAGTTAGAACTAACATGGCATAAGTTAGAACTAGAATGAATCAATATAAGTAAAATATGTAACTTATACACAATAGTATCATGCAACCTGGGACATATGTGACCCCTTCGCTTCTTCTTTCCCTCCAAAGCAACTCCAATGCCCCTGATAATTTTATCATAAAAGAACTAGGCCCATGCAACAGAATTGACCCTCTCAATGCTATCCAGGTACCTGAGTAAGGGTCTAGGGATACCTTCCCCGTCTCTAGGGTCCCATATCATAGAGCATTGGTATAGGATTTGTAGCAGAACAAAATCCTGGATATCCCGCTTTTCTGTAGATTCCACTAGCCGTTCCAGTTGCCCTTCGAGGTGTTTACGTTGGGTGGTTTATGCTTTTTTTCAACTTCTTACCCTCTTCATAAATGAAAAGATTAGCGAAGTATTCCACTCATATTCTGCTTCTTGAGTCCCGATTGATACTTATGACTTCCCCATAAATTGGCAAATAAGTATGATTATGGACCCATTGCAAATCAAATTTAACATTTTTCACACACCCACCTTTTGAATCAGGTATAGAAAATGTGTTATTATCGCTGTTAAAATAGCTCAGCAGCAGTTCAAGTGTGGGCCGATTAGGCGCAAGAGCCCCAAATAAAATATAGTGCTCAAATATATAACCGCCGTATGCATCCCTATGCCACTAACGAATCTTCGGGGCAATTCTTCATGAATTCTCAATAGGGCCCGTTATTGGCGGTTAACCTTAGTAATTCGGCCGCACCTGTAAGAGAAACTTTTTTCCTGCAAAAAGATTTAAAATATGTAAGTTCAATAAGACCTATGAACTCATATTAGACCTAACACTAACGGGAATCTAATAGAACTAAGGCGCGCAGTTATAGAACTAACATTGGACTCAATCTAGAACTAACATTGGACTCAAACTAGAACTAACATTGGACTCAAACTAGAACTCATGTGGACTCAGACTAGAACTAACAATACCGTGGTAAAACCTAGTATTGTTTAAGATGAACTGAAATTAGGGAAAATTAGGTCGAGTTCCCAAATACTGGATAACATAACACTTACTATTTTATTTTTATTTTTTTTTGGGGGGGGGGGGGGGGGGGGGGGGGAAAAAAATCTATTGCCTGTTTTTGTATTTCCATAAGGGCTTGAGTAGCTTTTCATCCGCGCTGCCAACCCCAGATGAACCGTCTTTGCCCTTCGACTCACCTCGATGAACGACCTCGTAGTCGTTAACGGATCCTTCCCTAAACGATATTTTTCCGGCGAAAACCCTAAAACTGTTGAAATCCGAACAGAAATTAGAAAGATCAAGAGTTTTTGTGGCTCCTAAGCAGTGGAAGAGAGAGAAAGAGAGGAAGGGTACTTGAATAGGGATGAGGCGCATTAACCGAGTTCAGTCCCATCAGAGGGGTAAGATTGTAACTTCCGCTGGGCTTTTTCTGAAAAAAGATACTTCAGGGTCTCGTCGCAAATACTGAGCATAGTTGGGGCTTATACACATGGGGACAAAATACAAGGGGGCTCGTCACACGAAGTTCCCATTTTTAGGGTCTGGACACATTTTTCCCAAAAAATAAACTGAAACTTTCTAAACAATTTCTCTATCCTTCATTTCTTTGTTTTAACTTCTCTTCCCTTTTCCCATTAAAAACTTCCGAACATCCTGAAGATTTGGGTTCATTCACCAAATCTATTCCTAGAGAAGTGCAGTGATTCAGTGAACCTCTGCAGGTTAAAATAAACAATAACTAAATAATAAATTAACATAAGGCCAAAAAAAAAATCATCTCTATCTAAAAACATGGAAAAACATCTTAATTTTAATAAGGAGAAGAAAAAACGGTTTAAGGAAATATCTCTCACAAGACGAAGCAAAAATACAAACAAGGCAAGCTGACAAAAAATAACAAACGGGGGCAGAAGAACAGCAATTAATTTCCTTTTCTTGCTATCTTCTTCTTCCCCGTCTCAAAAAAAAGAGAGGAGAAAGGGAGAGAGCTTTCTAAAAGGAGGAACTTTTTACAAAATCAGGGTGTTCTTTTTTTTTGTTTGAAAAAAGGAAGAAGAGATGAGCGTTTCCTCTGCTCCATTGGGGCTTGTTCTTCTCCCATCAAGGTCCCTTCTTTCTTCTCATTCTCAATTCCTCTCGCTTGATTTCAAAGTGGGCTCTCTTCAAAACCCTAGCTTTCTCAAATCCTCCATTGGTGGGAGATGGGCCGCTCAAAGGAGACTGATGGTAATTTCCTCTGGTTCGAAACTGAATATTTGTTGTTGTTTGATGACCAAGGGTTTTGTGATGGGTTTGCTTATTGATTTCCAGTGCGTATTCTCCACTGATGGATAGTTGTAGAGGAAAAGGGGGCATCTTGGTATTTTTGATCTTGAGTTATCTGTGGGAATTTGATGTTAATTTGAGCCCGATGGGCTGTTTACGTATTTAATTGAATGTACATTCTTTTGCTATTGCTAAGGCAGTTGATGGTGATGATTTAACTAGGAAAGAGAGGTCAATGGTAAGGGGGTATTGCTGGTTTGTACTTGTTTCATATTATTGTGCATGCTGGTTTGTACATGAGAATTGCTACTATTATTGCTCAAAACCCCTGAGTATGTGTGTGCTGTATTATAAGAAGTCAGGAAAACTAAAAGAAAAAGAAAGGCATGCTTGATTTCGTTAATTAGATGCATCATGAAGCCAGTTAATTCCCAATACGGTTTTATCCAGTAATCAATTTGTGATAAAGGTTAGTATTTATTTATTTTACTTTTTAATTACCCGTGTATTTGCATAAGCCGAAAAATCTAGTATTGATAACCAGATTTGCATTTTTCATGCAGCCTTTCAATTCATATCGCCGACCAATAATCTTGTAAAGATTGAATACTGCACATTTGCTTTGTTGTATGTGTCTAGGAATCTAAGTACTGATACCAGTTTCTTTTTTTTTTCCTTTTTTTCCCCTGCCAATGAGGGTGTTGGAAGTCTTTAGGGGAACCGATTGATCTCTCCCCCGCTACTTGGAGAAGTAGTGAGGTGGCAATCTCTCATCGACCTCGTTGTCTGGTTAAAGCCGAAATAATTTTAGTTATTCAAATTATTAGTATTTCGTTTATCATGCTTCTATCAAAGGGAAGCTTATTATGTGAAATGGACATGTAAAATAGCACCTTGGCCTGATTTGGCACCAAAAGATGCATGACTTAGTAAAAAATGTGGTATTTTATAATAGGTTAGAGAAGATCTTTTCATGGTCGCTCTTACTATCTAGGATAATAGCTCTTCTGTTGAAAAGTAAATAGTAACCATCAAATGTTGCTATTTTATTTGTTTTCATTGTTCTAGTATCGCAAATATTAAATTTATATATTTATCACTAAGAATCATACTTTTTGAGTTGTGTACCATGTAGTTTTATAATGTTTATAAACAAGTTCAAAGTCTCCATATTTGCATGATACTATAGGTTGTTTAGGTATGATGTATTACTTATACTACTACCAGATTTTCAGGCATGTGCCTTATACATGCAATCATAGAATAGTCTAACATTGATGTTAACAAGTTTATAAATCTTCATAACAGAATACAAAATCTCTTTCAAGTATTCTCTATTTTAGCGTGCATATACTTATTAGTATTTTGCAGATATCTATATATGGAACACAGCATATGAAAATCTTAAATAAATGGGCTATATTGTGAAAGTTAGTCTAGTAACTAGCTATATGTTTAGTGTTGATAAACATTAGTCATGGTTATGACAGACTGTCAATAGTAACTAATGTATTCTAATTAGTAAATATGTTTTAAATTGGAAAATGCAAGGGTGTGAAGGCTGAAAATTTTGAACGCTGTGAAGGGACGAATTTGCATGACTCCATCAATGAGGAAATGTAATTAAAACTTAGATTTTTTTTGTGAATGTGTAAATGAAAAAGGTCCACCAAGATAGAGTTACAGGTGATAAAGGCGTAATTGACTATATAGGTGACTATTTGGAAAAGAATATAAATAAATGTTAACTTGAGGATAAAAAATTACTGTTGGCTATGTTTTGACTTTTGACATACAGAGGGAATAAATTCTAAGTTTATACTGTAAATTTTTATGACTAATAATTCGATGGTGTAGGGTAGGGTATAAAGACAGAAATTATAGTCTAAAAACTTT